TTTTTTTCCCTCCAAATTTCTTTTCATTTTAATTATCATTTGCTCTCAAATCTTTTTAAACTCTTTATCTTTATCACTTTATCCCTTTGTAACTCTTATAATTTTTTTGTCATGTTATATCTTAATACTAGGGGTAACCTGTACTAATACACAATATAATGTAAATGGTTTAAGAAGGATGGGGATAAGTCTATTTGAGACAGTCGAATGGACTTATGGAAGCATGTCTTGTTTTATATTATAGATTTTTTTCTAAGCTAAAAAAAACTCATAATACTTGATTCCTCAAAATTTTTAAAAAAGAATATCTAATCTAAACATTTTTTGGTCAATAGATCTAATCTAAACATGATAAATGATATCATTGTGAATGATAGAGTAGAGAGACTCATAGAAAATAATTGTCAAATCTGTTAAAAAAGGTGAAATCGGGTGGTTGAAACTTTAATTGAAAATTCAAGGTTTTCCTAATCTCATATTAGTTTAAGTAAAAGACATGAGTTTATTTTTAGCCTATTTTTAATCAAATTTAAATTTGAATTAGAATTTAAGTAATTAGTACGGAGGTAATGATTCATGGTTGTTTGTCATTTTTCACCTCTTTTTTTCATTGGAAAAAATAATAAATTTTTTTGACTTATATTCTAAAAACATGTTAACTCCCATATATTCTATCAATTTGCACGTAAATCCCTAGGATTTTGGCTCAAATTAAAATCATTAAAAATTTTGTAAAAAATTACGATATTTTCAACAAAATAAGATGTCAAAATATTTTTGATGATAACTTAAATATGTTTAAGGATGAGCTCGGTAATTTAAGTTATACTTTCCTAGATCGGGATCCCAACTCACTTTAGATGCCCATGAAGCTTGAGGTCAGACCTCCAATCTCTGCAGTTGCGTCTCATGGAGGATGGTACAGAAGACAACTGACTTCCTTCCAAGCATCACCTAGGTAGTAACGGTCGCATATCTAAGCAGAAGAATCACAACTGTCCCAACACCCTCCACAACCGTTGCAAGATAGTAGCAACTGTTACAAGGAGGAGCAAAGTCTCGCCAAAGATCAAGCAAAGCTCTTGATCAACTATAAATAAGAGGCATAACCCCCAGCAAAATACAGACAAGTCATTGTAGTCTGAATAAATACTCTGTAATCTCATTTCTAATCAATATAAGTCCTAGGAGCAAGAGACTCCATTGGGAATGAATTAGTCAAGTTCATGAGCTAGTAAACAACTATAAACTATCAGTGTGTCAATTCCCTTTCCGTTGTCCCAATCTTAAAAGCCCAGGAGCTCAGACTGAGACATTTAGTGGTCCTTAACCCCAAACTCTGCTCTATCGTGTTGTACTCATCATCAATTTTTATTCTTGTATACATATTATATTTTCCTCCTCTTAAATTAATCAATCTCTTCCTCACCTGTTCGGTTTTTAGGCTTTTAATAGATTTTTCAAGAAGTACGAAATTTGCAAGAAGAAAACACAGAAATTTTAAAAAAAAAAAGCGAAAGCTACCAAACTAAAAATTGGAAGGTACTAACCGAAGGAATAAAGCGTAAGATTACAAATCATAGAAAAGTTAAAAGTGTAATTGGCATAAGCAATTTATCCCTTTTTTTCTTGGTTGAGAGAGAGAGAGAGAGAGAGAGAGAGGGGTAGGTGTATATATATATATATATGATGCATTGCTTCTCGTCTTTCCCAATATAACCATCAATATATTTCTCGTTAAACTCACTCGAAATGGAGAGCTCGGCAACAGAATTCAGCACTTTACTCCACCACTCCAAAGCCTACAAATTTGCCTCAGAAGACACAGCAGAATCATTGGAATTCTTCAGTAATTTCTGGAGAGATGAAGGCGCACTACCTATTGACCAACGCGGCGACACAGTCCTCCACCTTCTGGCCGTCAAAGGGAATGTGGCTGCCTTAGGAAACCTACTTCGGGCAGACCACCTCCTCGGCGAAATGCTCCTGATAAAGAATGCCAGCGGCAACACTGCGCTCCATGAAGCTGCGAGGTCTGGTCAGAAGGCTGTGGCGGAGATCATGGTCACGACGAAGCCAGATTTAGTTTTCCAGCGGAATGATATGAACGAGACGCCTCTTTACCTTTCTGCTGCGTTTGGAAAGAGAGAAGTTTTCACACTTCTGGAAAGCTACAATAGCGATTGCAGGATAAGGAGGCACGATGGTTCCACCATTCTTCATGCTGCCATTGAGGGAGAACGTTACAGTAAGTTTTCAATTTCATTCATTAGTTAATATTCATTCGAATGCTGGTCAAATCAACCACAAATTTTGATGGATTATCTCTTTTATTTCCTCCATTAAAAAGCTTAAGTTACCCTCTCTCCACAAGCACAACATTGCATTAGGGGCGAAGACAACCATTGATCAATTCCATTTGTATTACTTTTGCAGGATATTATGTTGGTTTGGTTCCCTTTTAAGTTTTGTTTCTTCACAATAGGGCCACCCGAAGCCTATGTAATTGGGTAAATATTATAATTAGTTTTGTCTTTTGCTTTAAAATAGTTCTTAAACTTTTAACCATCTCAATTTAGCCCACCAACTATTAATTTCATATTAATTAAGTCTAATCATCAATTCCATCTGTTAGAATAGACGAAGGCAAGTCAAGTGCTTGTCCTATGACCGTCCGTACAATTGTTCTAATGGATAAAATAACGAAAAGACTTAATTGACACGAAATCGATAATTAGTAGACTAAATTAAAAAATTTAAAGTTCCAATATCATTTTAAAATAAGGGATAAAATATAAGGACTAATTATGATGTTTTCCATATATAATTGGGTAATTGTTTATATACCAAATTTTTGCACAAAAATTTGCACCAAATCAAATGTCAATGATATGATTCACTGATCAAACGTTTGCAAGTGATTTGACACAAATTTTGGTGTATATAACATTACTCTATATAATTTTGTATCCCTCTCTTGACTTGTCCTCATACTTTTAAATTTGATGTTCTTCCAATCCTTACATTTTTTTAAATTCAAATTTAAATTTAGATAAAAAAAACTTCAAAAAAATTTATCCAATGTTAGAGTCATACCCATATTAAATCAAGAGAGACTCATACTCAAATTAAAAAAGACTCAAATCTATACCCAAATTTTTAATTATGAGATTTTACACTCTTTTAAAGATCTAATGATTATATTTTACCCTTTTTTAAATTTGAATTTATTCTCATTTAAATTTGAGTTTCTTTTCCTTTAAATTTGAGTTTCTCCATTTGGAGAGTTCTATACCAAATCAAGTTTTTTACCTTTTTTATAGGAAAATTTAATGTCGGTCCCTAGTTGTGGACTTTTTTTGAGATAAGTTCATCAAGAAAATTTGTTTGATATTAAGTCCATTTTGATCTCCATTATCCAAAATATCTCTAGTATGTATGTTAATTGAAACAAATTTGAAAACTAGCAGCTCCTAAATTTTAAGAGTTTGACTAATATTAATTTTTTTTTCCTCTCTCTCGTATCTATCTATATCCATATATAAAATATGACTATTTATTTATTTCTCTCTCTATATATATATATATATATATATATATACACACACACACATACATACAGTAATATTAAAAAAATAGTAACATTTAAATACAAAAAATAATATTATTTAAACACAAAAAAATAATAATATTAAAAAAAACAATGATAATATTGAGTATTAATATTTGAGAAAATAACAGTAGTAATATGCTTAACAAAAACAGTAACATATCCAACAAAAACAGTAACATGCTCACAAAAATAGTAATATACTCACAAAAACAATAACATTGTAAAAAACTTTACATATATATATATATATATATATATAGAGAGAGAGAGAGAGAGAGAGAGAGTATTCGTTGTTATTTGAATTTGAATTCCAAATTTATGTAAAAGACATTATTGACATATCTTCATTGAGAGTGAATTAAGGAATAATAATTTTCAAGTTAAGATACTAATTTAAAATTGCTTTTAAGGAAAGATATTTTTTAGTTTTAAAAAAATAATAGACTTAACTACTCATTTGTAAGATTAAAAATAGACTTATTTCTAAATAAATTTTCTTGATGGACTAAATTTATTATAAGTCTCTTAAAGAGGATTCAGCCATAATTTTCAATTTTTTTACTCAAATTTAAATAAGGGTTTGAATTTCAGTGCAGATGGTCCCAATGGGGCTTAAAAAGGTCAGCCAATCAAATTGGGCCAATAACTTGAAAACCTTCACGTTGGGTTCTAGGCTGGGCAATTGATCTATTGGGTCAGCCCATACCTCACAGGACAAAATATTGAGTCTTATTTCCACAATACGGAAGAGGTAAAATGAAAATTAGAAGTGCGGATATTATGACAAAATTCATTGCTAGGTTATTTTGGACGAGTAATAAAGTAATGACGTGTCACACACTAGACTTCTCATGTGATAATTAAGAGTAATAAAGTAGTGATGTGTGACACATTAGGCTTCTCATGTAATAACAGTGTTATATCTACATATGTATATTTTATTTTTTATAGAAAAATTTAACCCTTTCATTTCTAAAAAAAATAATTGTATTTATACTTTTTAAAAATCAATTTATGTTACATCAGTATAATTTTTCTATCACAATAAATTTTCTCAGTTGTACTAAGATTTTATATAAAAATAGATATTGTAGTGTATTTTTCAGTAAAACTTAATTTTTTTTAAATGTTAGTATGTTTGATAATATATATTATAGAATAGTATATTAAATGTTATCAAATTTAATTTCTCAAACATCATTAAAAAATCAATCTCAATCACAAAATTCTAAAAACGTAGAACTTTAACTATTTTTTTTATAGATAGGACAAAGAATTTTGGAAACATACAAAGCTTTCATTATTGTATAATAGAATGATTAATGAAAAATTAAGTTTGATAAATTTAAGATAATATTTAATTCAGATACACATATATCTAATATGTTTTATTAATTTTTGTATGCAAAAATGATTTACATGTAACGAACATTGTGCATTGCTAGTATACTAAAATAAATCTAGATTACTTTTGCAAAGCAATAATTATAAATTCTTTTAATTTTTTGACAAATTTACTTTGTTACTTAAATATTACAGTAGAAAGTATTACCAAACAAAGACTTGTATGTAAGAAATGTGAAGTCATATGTGATGTTAATTTATATATGTTTGTCCCACATCGGTTATATTAGAAAATTTCACTACTCTTTTGTAATATTGGTAAACCTCCTCATGTATAGAATAAATTATACCAAAGTACTAAACAATTATTATTCGTTTTGTATTATCTTCGTTTACATGCAATCAGAGTTTAGGCTCGTGAATCTTTTTAGTCAAGGATAGTGTGATATGTGGTTGCCCTGCGAAGGATCCTCCACATCAAAACTCTTGGGCTCTTCTTCTAGTCATCTTTTGTCGACATTCTGATCGCCTCCCAACCATCCTTCAACGACCTTTCGATCTGCCCCTGGTCATCCTCTGGTGACCTTTTGATCTGCCGCCTGGCCATCCCCACTGACTTTCTGGCCATCATCTGGCGACATTTTGATCACCTCTACCGATGTTCCAATCGCCTCCTGGTCCTCATCTTGCGACGTTCTAATCACCTCCGGTCATTCTCTAACGATACTCCGATCACCACCCGACCATCTTTCGATGACCTTCCAGTTATCATTCTGTCTCATTTCGACCATTCCTTGATGTCTTCCAGCGACCTTCCAATCATTCACTGATCATCCAGAATCCACTATGGCACTATCAGATATGCCCCAATCTCACTAGTCATATTGTCACAAGACTGGTCACGCGCTACTCAATTGTCTTACCCGAGTTTGCAACTTCTGACCAACTAGCAGTATAGTTCTAGTAATCAATCCAACGACAAGTCTATGTCTGTTTCTATCACTATTACTTCTATTGTCAATGACTCGTATCCTCCAAAGTCTCCTTTTCGACCTTCAGTGCCAGTGATCTTATGGCTATCCTCAAACAGGTTCTTTTTGTATCAATTAATCCTTTTTCTACTGCTTTTTCTTCCACTTCAAGTAAATAATCTTAGTTTTTTGACTCTGCATGTTGTAACCACATAACCCCTAATGAATCATTGTTTCCCTCTACACAATCTGTTGGTTCTGTCCCACCCATTCACATTGCAAATGACTCACATATGCATGTCAATCACGTTGGACATGTTTTTATATCCCATGTGTCACTTTCTCATACATATCACATACCTAATCTTACTCTTAATCTCATATCTATGGGTCAACTTTATGACCTTGGACTCGCTGTTTTATTTTCTTCTACTGGTTGTATTGTCCAAGATCCACGGACAAGATAGACCCTTAGGACGGACCATAAACATGGATATTTGTTTGAGCTTATTCATCTTCGTCTTACAAAACGACTATTTTCCTTAGTCCTCTCTAGTGTTTTTGCTTCTGCTCCGACAAACTCTCATTTCAATCTTTGGCATTCCTGTCTAAGTCATGTTTCTTCAAGTCGTCTACAATATTTAATTTCTAGTTGTTCACATTCTAGTGGTTCACAGTGAACAACTTGATTGCTTGTCTTGTAAATTTGCAAAGCATTTATCGTTACCTTTCAATAACAGTAACTCTTTGTCTTCTGCCCCCTTTTGATTTGATTCATTATGATATTTGGAGACCTTCTCCTACTGTTACTATAAGAGGGTGAAAGTACTTTGTCATTTTTATTGATGATTATTCTCGATTCACTTGGATTTATATTTTGCAAACTCAATCTCAGTTGCCACAAATTTATTATAATTTTATCAAAATCATGATTCATTAAAGTCCTTAGATCTAATAATGCCATGGAATATAGAGACACCACATTTCTTAACTTTCTCAATCAACATGACACTATTTCTCGTCGTTCTTGTCCTAGTACATCTCAACAAAATGGACATGCTAAGCACAAACATTATCATATTCTTGATACTGTTTGTGCTCTTCTCATCTCTTCTTCATGTCCTGAGCGTCTTTGGAGTGAAATTGCTATTACTACCGTTTATACCATCAATCATATTCCCTCTCCTATTATTGAGAATCAATCTCCGCATGAGTGATTGTATAACATTTCCCCTGATTACCACTCTCTTTGAGTCTTTGGTTGTGTATGTTTTGTCTTACTCCAACCTCACGAGCGTACCAAGTTGGAACCTTGGGAAAATCTTTGTTGTTTCTTGGGTTATAGGATTGAACATAATGGTTATCGTTGTTGGGATCCATATTCCAAGCATCTTCATGTTTCTCGACATGTAGTTTTCTACAAATACAAGATGTTCTTATCCTTGTCTCAGTTTTAGCTTTCGTCTGCCCTTACTTCTCATCTCTTTACTGATCCATTTATGGATCTATATCTTGATGACCCACATCCAGACTCATCTAGGCTCCCATCTATGGACCATCAAGAGACTTTTGTCCTGCCTGCTGATCTTGTTCCTGCCCCCACTTCATTCTGACAGTCTCAACTCCTAAACCTCTACACCATTTATTGTTAATATTCATTCTCCTTCTCATCAACAACATCATTCCACGCAGGTAAAGAACATTTATGTTCATTTACATGATTATCATTGTTTCTCCACTATTCTCTCTTACCATGAGCTTCACTCTTATACTTTGACCCTCATTGACAACAAGAAATGATAGAAGAGTTACATGCACTAGCTGACACACATACTTGGGATTTGGTTGTTCTTCCTCCTAGCAAAATAACTATTGGTTGTAAATGGGTTTATAAGATCAAGAATTGCTCCAATGGTCCTATTTAGCGTTACAAGGCTCATCTAGTGGCGAAAGGGTTTTTCATAAAAGTATGGTATTGATTATAAGGAGACTTTTGCTCTCGTTGCTCATCTCACTTTAATTCAAAGCCTACTAGCTGTTGCCGCCCCTTGCTAGTGGAAATTATATTAGATGGATGTCAAAAATGCATTTCTCAATGATGAACTTACTAAGGAAGTCTTGCAGCCTCCTCTTAGGTATCCTCATTCACCACATTAGGTTTGTCGACTCCGTCGTACTCTCTGTTGTCTTAAGTAAGCCCCTAGAGCCTGATTTGTGAACTTTAGTGCTACTATTGGAACTTCTTGTTTCTCTTCTAGTCCTTATGTCTCGGCTCTTTTTGTTCGTAAGACTAAGCATGACACTACTCTACTTCTTATCTATGTGGATAATATGATTATCACTAGGATGATGTTTCTAGAATTTTTTATCTCAAATATTTTCTCAACACACTCTTTGAGATGAAGGATCTTGGTTCTCTCTATTATTTCTTGGGCCTTGAAATCTCGTCTGACTCCAATCGGTATTATCTCTCTCTTAGGCCAAAGTATGCCTTTGATCTTGTTACTCATAGACTTACTAATTGCAAGATTGTACGTACCCCATTAGAGAAAAATGTTCGACTTACTCATTTAGTTGGCATACCTTTCCCTGATGACACTCTTTGTCGCCAATGGATAGGCAGTCTTGTGTATCTTACTGTTATTCGCTCGGATATAGTTTATGTTATTCTCTTGTCAACCAATTTTTGACTGCCCCTCGCTCTACTCCTTACGCTATTGTTCTTCGTATTTTACGATATATTAAGGGTACTATATCTCATGGTCTTCATTACTCTTCTCACTTATCTCTTGAGCTACGTGTCTATTCTGATACTAACTGAGTAGAAGATTCGACTGATTGTCGTTCTATCACTGCTTACTATTTTTTTCTGGGCGACTCTCTCATCTCTTAGTCCAGCAAGAAATAGTCTATTATCTCTCGATCCACTATAGAGGTAGAGTACCGTTCTCTTGTTGACACTACCTAGGAGTTTATTTGGCTTCGTTGGCTCTTAGAAGATTTAAGTGTCTCTCATTCTAGTGCTACTTTTCTTTGTTGTGACAATCGGAGTGAGATATAGATTACTTACAATGATGTTTTCCATAATCGCACTAAGCGTATTGAAACTCATTGTCATTTTGTGCCACAACAAGTGGTGCAAGACATAGTTCATCTTGTCTCTGTTTCTTCATCAAACTAGATTGTTGACATCTTTATCAAGGCACATTTGTCGACCCGATTTCGTGATTAAGTTTTCTAATTCAAGTTGATTTCTATTTTACCTCCCTGAGTTTGATGGAAGATGTGAATGTATATATATTATACCACATATGAACATCCTCGTGTATAGAATACATTACACCAAAAAAATATATAATTAATATTCGCTT